GACGACATCATGCGGTTGCCAATGTAGAGCACCATCGAGACAAAGCAAAAGAGGAGGACGCCCGACCAATGCATGGCGGCAAAGATCGTGGCCGGAATAAAGAGAAAGTGCGTGACGTAAAAGACGTTGTAGTAGCGTCGGCGCACATACGAGATCGACGTCATGCCCATGATGAACATGGCAAAGCCCGAGAGCCATCCGAACGAGATCATCCAGTTCTCGTAGCCTTCGTCACCAACGTCGCAATCAAAGCACGGCAGCATCTTCATGAGCTCGTGCTTGCGCGCATACGACACGACGTAGACGATTGTGTGCAAGACGAGCGCCAAAATCGACAAAATCCCGAGCCAGCGGTGGTACTTGATGCCGTGGGCGTATGGAATACCGAGCCACTCCATCCAAAAGCAGTGGCGCGACGCCGGCAGCGCAAGAAACGCCATGTTGTACGCCGTCAAAAAGCCAAAGGCAGCGGCCGCCGCCTCGAGCCGTCGCTCGTTCGTGCTCGTGGGCTCGACACGGATCGTGTAGGAGAAGTAGAAGAAGAGGATGTTGCCGCCAACGACAACGAGAAGGAAGAGCGCCTCGCCGTAGGTCACGAGCGAGTTGAGGAAACGTGGCTTGCGCTGCAGCGCATACGACACACGGAAAATCGGAAACGTCGCGCCGTGGGACACGAGGCGCACGAGCAAGAAGGCCACAAATATCGGCAAGATGGACGCAAATAAGAAGTACCCGGCGTCCACCATCTCGTAGTGGCCGCTCGGCCACTTGTACGGGTCGACGCCAAAGAGCGGACAGAGAAAGTTGTTCATAATGTCGATCGACGTTTGACTGTAGATGACCGTGGTACCAAAGATAGCGTAGAGCACGAGCAGTCCCGCGACCCAGTGCGCGGCGAGAGCAAGCTTGCGCGGCACCGACTTGACTTCAGCGTCCAGTGGCGCGTGCAGTGGCGGAGTCGCCATCGCCTCATAGGTCGATGTGTGGCCCATGGTGCTTGGCGTCGAGAAAGCAAAATGAATTGTGGTGTGAAATGCTTCGTCTTTGGTATGCGCAGAAGACTCGCCGACTTCGTGAGCGCATCACAGCAGAGTTGTCGTTGCTTTCAAATGGACCTCGATTGGCACCGTTCGTTGGCCTCGCGCTTCAACTGGTCTTGGTATCTTGACACGTGATTTCGCGCGTTGGTTGGCCAAGACGTGGCCAATCACCGCGTTGGACGTTCCTGATTGGCTCCTGGCAAAATCGGTGGCGCCAACTTCGCAACGAAAGGGCTGGCGACAAGTGCGCTCTCCAAGCCATCATGGGATATTCAAGAAGGCGAAAGTGGGACTTCGTGGTACGCTTGCACATCATTTGCAATAAAGAAACTCGCACAGTCACGCTTCTCCTAGGTGACGGTGCTTTGCCGTGGTGGTTCGAAACGACAGTTTGTTCCAGCGCCATCGGTCGTGTTCCGGGACTCTTTTATAAGACATGCACGCCTCTCGAACGCTAAGTGAAGGGGAAGGGGACTGTTCAATCTCAATTCGATTGTCGTAGTAAGCTCCGTCCCTGCGTGAGCATGATGCCGCTGCCTGGTGCAACCTTGTCAAGAGCACGACGGAGCCTGTCGAGTTGGATGTGGCGTCAACTGTCCACGAAGCGCTCGGCGCCAAACCCACCGACTACGAAGGCGAGGTGGCCAGCGTTTTGGGTGATGATAGAAACGCAACAAGGTCTTGGCTCATGCAGACAGCCTGTCGAGAATATCCCGTGGGTGATGCAAGGAGCGGCACTTGAGTTGCATGGAAGGAGCGTTCTTGGTGCTGCGTTTTGAAGGCTCGCTCACGTCTCTTCTTTTGGGATGCACTGCCGACAACGGCAGCAATAGGAATTCCGAGAGAACCTGGACGCGCGGACCAAGAAGGGCGCCGTTACAAAACAGTACGAGTCTACGATAGTGGATAACATTGCCCTGTCACATGATGCTCTGTTCATGCGGTAATCTGCGTGTTTACGATTGTAGTACGACGATTTTTATTTGCATGCATTTGGAAAGCCACGTCTTTGTCGATGAACCATCTGCACTTGGTGCTTCTCCATCTCGGTATTCCAGATGTCCGACCGCTGTTGCATTCGTTTGTCCCCTTGGATGTTGAGAGCCTCAAGGAGTCAAAACTATGTGTAGACAATCGCTGCTGAGCAACCCAGAGCATATTTCCTGGGGTTGTAGCGATCGTTACGAGCCAGTCGGAGGTGTGTTTGCCGACGACTTTTTGGTGTATCTCCAGGACCCCAATCGCGATTGCGGTCGACGTTATCAGGACGCTCATGAAAGCGCAGGCGCAGCGCAAGGCCGCGGCCGACGCTGATGCAGGTACATTCGTCCATCGCGGTCACGGCCGTGGGCCAGCCCTTCCTCTGCTACGCCACGGTTAGTTGATTATTCTGACGCCTTTGACCAGTCCAAGGGCTACCGGTAGCTCGTTGACCGCAGCAAGCTCGTCACCGAGACGCCGTTCCTGAGCCGCAAACGCATTACGGTATGAAACTTGTAGACAGGCGTGTGAGAGTGGCCACACCACGGCGGTTGCGCTGCAACAGTATCGTTGAGTCGTCACCCGAGGCTCGCAAAGAACGCGGATACTGTCCCACAGCGCTAGGTGGGAGCATGCCGATAGCACGAACCGCGCTGTAAGCCCTTGGAGATTGTGGTGCCAAGTAAAACGGTTGGCGTCCACTCGCCTCGACAAGCGCATTTTGCCGCTCGTTCGGGCGACCAAGGACGGGGCGGCGGTGAGGCCCGCGAAGCGGCGCGCAGCGCAGTTGATGGCGAGGTGGCGCAACCTGTTGATGCCAAAAATACGACCACAGAACTCAGTCCATGAATGTCCGGATTCGTCCGAATAACATACTAAAAGTGGCTACATGTGGCTATATATGGCTAACACCAGATGTAACAGTGTGGTCGATTGCTCTTGCTGCGCCGCTCCAACGCCGACGTGACGTAGCGTGTTATGCTTCCTAGAGTGTCTGCTATCGCTCCGCCAAGTATGGGCGACTTCATTAAAAACTTCATTCGGCGCGCCCGAGCGCTCGCGCGCGGTGGTGTGTGCACCCAAGTCACACAGGATTGGTCAAAATTATAAGAATAAAGACCAATAGAATAATTTAATTACTGTATTGTATTGCATACAAATTAAACGCTTTGCATCAAAATTTAAAGGCAAGCTGCTCGTCCGCCGCTAACATCAGATGCTTGATTTGACCTTCGTGCTGCACAAAGCACTGCGCCACAAACAGGAGTCTATCGTTGCCCATCGAGAGGGCACGACTACTGTGTCCTTCAGTATCATAGTTGGACAAGCACGACTTTGATACATAAACGATTAATTACGGTCCAGTTACTGGGTGTTCATACGACTCGAGCTCGTTTACATTTCAAACTCTTCGTGATGCACGGCAAAGCGCGTCGAGTGCGCTTGCGCATCGATCGCACGCGAGAGCGTCTTGGGGCCCGAGACGTAGACACCGATCGCTGGCGTCGTCCAGCTCGTGGTCGTGCCGTCGACGAGGCTCGAGAAGAAGCGCGACCAGTCCATGCGGCCCTGCTGGACGCTGTAGCGCTCGATGAACGCCTCGTCCGACATCATCGGCTCCTTGGGCACGTCGTCAAACGGCGTCTTGGCCACCGGCATGGACTTGTACGGCTTGATCAAAACCACAATGTACGCCCAGTACGACCCGACCACCATCGCCACAAACTCGACGAAGCGCTGCAGCGGCCAGTACGACGGGTCGATGCTCGTAATCTTGTTGCCATAGTGAACCGCGAGGAGGAGCGTGCCGGCGCCAAAGAACGCAGCGACAAACAAGAGCACTTGGCGCAACGTCGAGACGTTGGCGTACGGTCGCGGCGCCACATTGGAGCTCTTGAGGTCGTACACTTGCTTGGCGACCGCCGTTTCCGCGGGCGGCGAAGACTTGGTCACAAAGAGGTGGAGGCGCAAGTTGGACGAGAGACCCGTCGCTTCGTGGAACCACTGCTGGAACTGCGTCATCATGCGGAGGTCGCGCACGTGCCAGACCAAATGGACTTCCTGCGACGGCGCCGTGTGCAGGATGTGCATGATCTGGGCCATGAGCGGGGTGACGCCGATGCCGCCGCCGATGAAGACCACTTTTTCATACGACGCTGGAACGAGTGCGGGCGAGACGTAGCCGCCGTCCATGTACACGACGGGGTCGACACCGGAAGCCGTGCACTGACGAATGTATTCGTGCACTTGGCCGGACCACTGACCGAGCGTCTTGATGTACACCGTGAGCGAGCCAGGCGTGTGCAGCGGCGTCGACGCAACGCTGAACGGGTGCCACTGCGTCTTGGAGACCGACGGCACCTTGAGGTAGACAACGTCGCCGGCTTGGTACGACGTAGCACACTCGAAGGTCAACTCGGTCACTTCGTGCGGGTGCGCGGCGGCCTTCTGGATGACGACCGGCGCTTGGATGGTCGCAGACGAGAGCATGCGGTTGCCAATGTAGAGCACGATGGTGGCGAAGAGCCAGATGGCAATGTTGGCGTAGTGCATGATCGCAAAGGCCGTGGCGGGAATGAAGAGAAAGTGCGTGTAGTAAAACACCTTGTAGTAGTGGCGGCGCACGTACGGGATCGACGTGAGGCCCATGACAAACATGCTCAGGAACGCGATCCAGCCAAATGTGTTGATCCAGTTCATCTTGCCTTCCTTGGCCACGTTGCAGTTGAAGCACGGCAGCAGCATGAGCGACTCGTTGTCAGCGATAAACACTTGGACGTAGAACGCCGTGTGCACGGCCGCGCAGAGGATGGTGACGATACCGAGCCAGCGGTGGTACTTGACACCGTGGGCGTACGGAATGCCGAGCCACTCCATCCAAAAGCAGTGGCGCGACGCGGGCAGCGCGAGGAACACCATGTTGTACACGGTCGAGAAGCCGAGCGTCTTGGCCGCGGTTTCGATCTTGGCCTGCGTCTTGGTCGTGGGCTTGATGCGCGGGCTGTAAAAGTAGTAGAAGAAGACGACGTTGCCGACGACGACGAGAAGCAAGAAGAGGACCTCGCCGTAGCTCACGAGCGACCACAAGAGGCGCGGCTTGCGCTGGAGCATGTGCGAGAGCGCCGGCACCGGGAACGTCGCGCCTCGAGTGGCCAAACGGACGATCAAGTAGGTGACAAAGAGCGGCAAAATCACGGCGAAGAAGAGGTACGTGTAGTTGACCATCTCCGAGTGGCCAGAGTTTTTGACCTTGGGGTTGATGTCCCAGAGCGGGTTGATGAACGACGTCGTGATGGGCGCCGTCATCGGCGTGTAGATCACCGTGATGGCAAAGATGGAGTAGAGCATGAGCAACCCCGCGACGATGTGCGGGACGAGCGCAAACTTGGGCGGCGCTGGCTTGGCATCCACGTGCAACTGCACATGTTGCGTTGGCGTTGAGATGGCGTGGAAGGCCATGCTGGAGACGAAGCAAATTGAAATGTGAGCCTCTCAAATGCCGCCTCGTTTTGTTTGGCGAATAAGCACTGAACGATTCGTTGAAGGCGGTGCTGAACAGTTGGCTCGGCGCTTGCATATACGTGCATCATAACGTCGACTGGAGCTGGTTTACAGCCTCATGCTTCTGGTATCTTCTCGGACGAGGTTTAAAATTGATTGGATCTGATTTAGCCAATCATATTTGCCCATGTCGCGGATTGGCTTACGGCCAGCCCGTGAGCGCGCCAAGAGTCAAGTTGGCCCTGGCGTCAAGTGCCACATGGGAACGTCAGCGATTCCCACATGGCGTTGTGTAGTTGAGCTATACCCAGACATTGTAGGTGCGCGACCATCTTCCGCGCGTATTATTTGGCTGCGAGGAGCTTCGAAATCGAAGGCGATCGGCACCTGGAAGCAGCGAATGGTGGTGCCAAGGTTGCTGTGCTCACGAAGAGGTGGCATTGAGACAGCGGGAAGGATTATATTATATGTAAACGGCAGCGTTATCTCGCTCGCCAACAGCACCTTGTTAGCGAATTTGCCTGCACTGTTTGAACTTGACTCTTTCTCGCTCCGCTCCCACTCAGTATGATACCAGCATAGTATCAGAGCACAAATAGTCGTATCGTTTGTAAACCGGGCACCAACTTCTTCTTGGGAGAGCTCTTGGGGAGGTGCTAATGACATGCAACAATCCCAATTCTTCGCAAAACCTTGGATGTGCTCGCAAGCAATGCTTGCGTCAACTGCGCGACGTCAACCGCTGGGAAGGTCTGTGACCAGCATGCACCAGCACCTTCTGTTGCAAATATTGTGTTTCTTCGACACTAGTGCTAAACGGGCAAGTCATGGCGAGGGAATGATACGGCAAGCTTCGTGTATGAAAGGTACAGTGGGAATTTTAATAGGGCCCTCTTGACCACGGACTACCGTAGACAGGGTGTGGGTTGCCTTCGTCTTGCGTCATCGAGACGGAGGAATCTTTGCCTCTCCTAGTACTTTATACGTCCACAATAATGTCTACTTATATCTGAGTCGAATACGGTACCGTGCAGTTGCTTGTCCAACCGCGGGGATTCGGAATGGTCAGGTCGCCACGTCAGCAAATTGCAGCGGCGGGCCTGGCCTGTACAACCGCACCGTTACCACAGAGAGTTCGGCCTCTCTGTCTCAGCGTCGATTGGCCTCCATTCCAGCAGCTTAAATAGCTCTAGCATTTTGTGGTCGAGCTCATGGTCCAACGTGGAGCTGATAATATAGAACGTCGACTAGCGTCCAAAGAAATGCGGGGCCATAGATAGATCGATACCATTGAACCAGACCCGAGAAGCGCGTCGGAATATAAACCAATCGTTGATTCGTAAAAATGGCCGTACATTGCCACACGTTCTCCGTTGGCTACAGGGGTAGAAGTTGCCTTGCACAGTTAAGTCCTGTCGCACTGACAAAGACAAGGCCATGCACATCATCGCCCGTCGCGCTAGATGGTAGGTACAGAGTTGCTATAGCCGCTCTACTTGCGTCGTCTTTCTCCAATGCTACCACGTCACACGAGCTTGAGTCACACGTACGGCTGCACGTACGCTATCTTCAGGACCAGCCACGTTCTCAGAACGCCACCCTAGGCTGAACAGTCATCCACGCCTAGGCGTTTTAGTCAACCGTGTTGGCCTACGTGATCTACCGGTAGTGTCTCCAGACAGTGGCAGAGCGCCTCGAGCAGACGTCCAACATACACGTTCTAAACAATGTGGGCTTGTAAGACCTTTTTCTGTCTTTGGCGTTAAAGCGAAGCTTTGGGCAATTGCGAAAGCGGGCGATCCCTGCAGCGAACGACGAGAACATGACTAATATGGAGAGCTGAGGAAAATTCATCCAATTGCGGTCTGCTTCTATACCTGGTCTCTCGCTCTTTTATTTCTCTCGCACTTTCATTATTGGAATGTCTCTCTGTATGTACTGTACTTTCACTTTTGCATCCAATCAAAATGTATCGAAATATAGCCAATGGGTTGGCCCGTATTGTGACACACCACGAAATTTCACATTGGTCCATGTACTATTGTAGTACATGGTATCTTGGTACACAAGTGCGTGTACCTGGGCAGATACAAACGTTGTTATTGCACCACTAACGTTCCCGAGGCGCCCGTCGTGACACCCGAAGCGGCCGCTGCCCGCGCCGCGTTCTTGACCATGGTGCATCTTCACCACTTGATGTTCAATACCCAAGCGATGTGCCTCTTCCAAATGATGCACGCCCTGCGCCACGACATCTGGCTTCGTGACAATCTCGTCCCGGCTTGCGCCATCCATACGCCTCGCCTTCAACACGGCTAAGCCTCGCCGCTGCTGCCGTCTAGCACAACACGCTCTGAATCGAAAGTCCACCCCCAAAAACAGTTCAGTGTAAATTATATCTAAATAGACTCACGTCAACAACTAACGTTCCTCGGTTACCAGGATCAACGGCCACTGCGACGGAGAAAGCCGTAGCCATCGACAAGAGCTGTGACCGCGCACAGTTCTGGACGGTGACTTCGAATGCAACCATTAGCCATGCTAGCTCGGCGCTAGAGCACTACAGACGTGACTGCGCACATAGATAAGTATGTAGCGCACCAGTCCATGCTTCGGCATCACGTACTTGTGGGTTGATATCAATTATGCGCATCTCAAAGCACCACTGCTGGTTATCAATGGTGAAATGGGTGACAACAATATGCTTCGCTCGTTTGTGCCGTACTAGTATCCAGTAAGCTGTACTAGCGTAGAGTATGCGAAACGGCTGCATACAATAAGACCATTCGAAGGTTTTCTCGTCACACAGCTAGGTTAGCGTTACGTAAAACAGGAGACTCTTGTTTCTTTCGTCGCCACGATGAAATTTGACGTCTCTTTCCGCTTATAGAGCACATCATACTAGGTTTGGCATCGTTTCTGGTTTGAAATGCTTGCTGCTTTTCCACAGCACAAAGTCTAGTGAGCATGAACCTGTGGTTGATTTCACTGCAATTTAGGTGTCGTGGGCGCTTTCTGAAGCGATATCAATCAAGGAAAAAGGGCTAGGTGCATCCAAATCTATGAAAATACCCTTCAAAGCACCAGACGTGGTTCGTTGTTGTTGTTGAAGTGGGTCGTCTATTAAAATAGATACGTAAATCTACGCTAAATAAAATTGTCGGACTTTCTTCGTTGTGTAGGCGCTGGTGATGATCTTGATCTAGGCCGGCGGAGGCAGGAGCGCGATCCGCGGGACAAGGTGCTGGCGTGGCCACTCGTGTTGAGCGAGGAGCCGGAGAAGGCGACGTAGAGCCCAGACGTGGTTCGTCGTGTAGTGTATACATCAGCCAATAGCTCGGTCGCGTTTCCCACGCACTGATAACTGCATCGTTTATGATTCCTCCTCCCGTGTCCATGGTAGTTGAATCTGGTCACGAGCACTGGAATTCAGGCGACCAGATTGCCATTCGCTTACTTGTTCTCTGATACGCATGCCAGAAGTCACAAAGGAAGTCGGCATCGCCTTTGCCCTCACGTGGGCCGCGGCGTTCGCGACCTGCCTCGGCGGTCTCATCATCTTTAGCGCGTCCATGGTCAAGATGGCCAGCGCCAAGAACCTCTCGATCGCGCTCGCGCTCGCTGGTGGCGTCATGATCTTCATCTCGCTCGTCGAGATCTTCAAAAAGGCTGTCGAGCAATTCATGGCCGGTAACGCGAACGCGGCTGGCGAGTGCGACCCGACGTGCGAGGGCAACGCGTGGGTCTATACCAACATTGCCTTTGCCATTGGCGCCGGTATCATCTACCTCCTTGATGCGCTTGTCCACCGTCTCTCGCCCGACCTCAAGGACGAAATCGACGTCGCCGATCTCTCGCGCCTCGAACAAGTCGTCGACGGCCACGTGCCTCTCTCGACGCCGCTCGACTGCGAGAAAGACACGCTCGCCGGCAAGGAGAAGGCAGCCATGAACCGCACGGGCATCCTCACGGCGATTGCGCTTGCGATCCACAACCTCCCGGAAGGCATTGCCACGTACACGGCGGCGGTCCACGACCTCAAGGTTGGCGCCACGCTTGCGATTGGTATTGCGCTGCACAATATTCCCGAAGGCATTGCTGTCGCGACGCCCGTCTACTTTGCGACGGGCAACCGCTGGAAAGCATTCTTGTGGGCATGCGGGTCGTCGCTCGCGGAGCCGCTCGGCGCGATCCTCGCCTTCTTCATCCTCGGCGACGGTCTCAACCCGTCTCTCGAGGGTGCAATGTTTGGTCTCGTTGCTGGCATGATGGTGACGCTCTCAATTAAGGAGCTCATCCCGTCGGCCGTCAAGTTTTACCCCGACGGCCACGCCGTCTCGGTCGCGATTCTGGGCGGCATGGGACTCATGTCTCTGAGTCTCATCCTCTTTGCGTATGTCGGCGTCTAAAACGACGACGGTCCATATTGGCGTTACGTCTGGTGCAACTGAAAGCCAATTGAATAAGATCTTGTTCCTGTTTCTGCAATGAGTTGTTGACATGTCATTCTATAAAGGAAGTGGAGTTCCCAGTGTGCTCGTGAGGGGTGGCTAGTGCGTCAAGCAAGGAGCGTTAGGGGTCAGATTGTGCGGGTGTAAGGGGAAGCGCACCAAGGGTCATCGCGGAGAGCGTTGAAAATCCGCAAGCGATGGCACCACGGCACGACGAACCAAGTGCGAAACGTGCAATCGCGTACGTACCAATAGCAACCTTGATCGTGAGCGCAGCGCACCAGGTTTTCATCCTAGGCATGTCTTTAGACTGCACAAGGCTGCACCAAAGTGGCGTCTATTGACTGGCGAAAGCAGTGCGAAATGGGTATACATCCTTGCGGAAACCACTGGATCCCATCTGAGCTACCATCCGGTGGGTTAAATTAGGCACAAGGTGACCTCGTATTAGTTCGAAATAAG